GAGGCCTTTGGGGCCATTTTGGGGCTATCTTGGAGCCCTCTTAGGCCGCCAGAAGGCCGAACAGAAGCAAAGGGCAACATCCTTCAAAAACCATGAAGGAATAATGGATTTTGACCTACTCGGGCCTTCGCGGAGGACCTCTCGAAGTTCGATTGAGCCGTCTTGACCGCCTCTTGGGGGCCTCTTGGGCCGTCTTGGAGGCTTCTTGGGCGGACATGGAGGCATTCTGGACACTCTTGGGCCGTCTAGGCGGCCATGTTGAACCATCTTGGGCTAACTTGGAGGTCATCTTGGCCGTCTTGGAGGCCATCCTGGGCCATCTTGGACCCATCTGGAATTCACAAATCCTTGCCAACCACCTCCAGGCAAGCATTTCGGGTGGCCGGCGCGTTGGGCCGAAGCCCCAGGGAGTTCCAAGAGGGCCAAAAGCCATAAGACATATGGCACGCCCGGCACCCCTGTCGCAAGACCACAGGGGGCGGCGGATCGAATGGCCTTTAGTCCATCCCGCCACCGTGCCTGGGCTGTGGGTCAGGGTCATCAGGGATGGTTCCTGGGGTCTCTTCGGAGCGTTCTCGGGGGCCTTTTGGGAGCAGCTGTGGGGCCTCTTGGGGGCCTCTTGGGGGCCTTTTGGGGGCCTCTTGGGGGCCTCTTGGGGGCCTCTTGGGGACTCAGGGGGCCTCTTCGGGGCCTCTTGGATCCTCCTGGGGGCCCCTCGGGGCCCTCGTGGAGGTCTCTGGGGCCGTCTGGGAGCATCGGAAAGCAGCACCTGCGAGAACGCCAAAAAACTTCATTAATCATGAGAAAATAAAGCATGCTGCAAAAATAAATCAAGTTGGCCTCTTGGAGCCCTCTTAGGGGTCCTCATGGAGGCCTCAGTGGGCATGTTGGAGGTCTCTTGGGCTGTCTGGGGGCCTTCTTGGGCATCTTGGAGTGACAGGTTCGGCGTTTCGAGGCCCAGTTGGACCATCTTGGGAGTCTCTTGAAGCTCCGCGGGGAGTGTGGCAAGCCTAAGGAGATTTGTCAATTCGGAGTGCGGGTCTCTTTAGAACCCTGAGGGTCGAGGATTGAGGCTCAGATGATGTGGCAATGGACCTGGGGACACGCCCACTCCGTGCCCAGCCCCTCGGTTGCGGATTAGGGCCCAACCGTCACGTTGATTCGTGGTGTTGAAGTCTCAGGAGTTGTGTTCTGGCATGACTTAGGATTGTCAGGACGCAGCAATCGCGTTCAACCGCGGCGCTGAGGGCCCAAGAACTGTGCTTTGGCACCGTCGAGGATTCTCGGACGTTTGTCTCTCGATGGGCTCTCTTACCCGCAAGGAAAGGCATTGGAGGGAGGATTTGTTGCAACATCTGGGAGGCGCCGTTGGGGCGCCCACCTGACGGCAGGCTCTTGCGGCGTGGGCGCGCCAGCGACGCCGGCGAAGACGTTCCGTGTCAAGTTCTGCGACGCGGAGACACCGAGGAACACGGAAACGGCACCGGACCCGACGGAATGCAGCCTTGAACGATGGGGGCCGCGATCGCTGCAAGGTTGAACGATCGACGCGGTGTCAACCTTTGCGCGCGCCGACACCGCGCACATACCTACCGTGAAGTCGGGCATGCCCTTCTACAGGAGGAATACGCAAGGATAGTCAAAGAATAGTCTGGGGACGCTCGTTCGTGTTCTTTCGATTATTTGGGGGTATTTTTAACATGGCTGAACTGTTATTCCCAAGTCCCCCTGCAGGAGGACATGCCCGACCTAAACCTACCGCGCGATCTGCCGTTTCGGCTCAAGCGCCCGCACCGCGCCGCCAGACCCGGCGGCTCGCAGAGGGGGCCGCTCCGCAGAGATCGGCTGCTCCCGCGCTCGCGCGCAAGGGTGCGTCGCGTCAGGAGCAGAGGAGATGCCTGGCGGCGGGGCGGAGCCCGAGGCTGCCACCAGCGAACAGGAGGAGCAGGGCTGCGCCTGAGTCGGGCCTGTCCCTCTGCATGAGGAGTATTCAAAGATAGGCAAAACATACTCGGGGGGCGATGTTTCTACGATGTCTTGACTTTTGTTGATTATTGCTTGACCACATTCGATATTTTTGGCCAAGATCCGCCTCTGGGAGGACATGCCCGACCTAAGACTGGGCGCAGCCACGGTCGGCGTCACCCAAACTTCCTAATACTATGTGTGCGTCGCCCATCCGCAGGCGCGGCGCGCGCATCGAGAAATCTTACAGTTGACGCGTCGTCGTGGCGGGCGTTTTCTGGCCACACCGCGCGGGAAACGATATGCTACAAGATGGATATACCATATGTTCTAGTCAGACGCGCGCCTCCAAGGAGGACACATAGTATTAGTACGTCTCTGAGCGTCCCAACACTGGGGCTGGTTCTATGATGTTCCGACTTGTTTTTGCCTTGATCACCAGGAAGAATTTCGAGAACCAGGAATATAGGCCTCTTACATGGGGTCGGAGCAGATGGGGTCGGAGGATCGCACCGCATCGCCGCTGCATCGGCGATGCGGCTCGATGTGGAGCGCTTCACGTCGACGTCGCAGTTGCACCGCCGACGTCGCCGATGCATCGGCGATGCATCGGCGATGCATCGGCGATGCGGCGCGATCCTCCGACACCATCTATTCGGACTTTATCCAGGAGGCCTCTACACACGTGGGCTTGTTTTATAATGTTCTGACATGTTCCGACTTTTTATAGCCTTGATCATCAGGAAGAGTTTCGAGCACCAGGGAAGTACCGAATGTTTCATGGTTTTCACGTGTCAGGCCTTGGGAGGCGTCTGTTGTTAGACACTTCACCAGCATGCCGGGCAGACACTTTGATACCCTTCTGGGTGTTCGAAATTGTTTCTTGGATGTGGTCCGTACGATGGGAGCAGATTATGGTTGATTCGAGTTTCCGCAGAAGGCTTCTATCGAAGACGCCTACGGCGAATCACCGCCGCCCCCTGCCTTTTTGGAAGCGCCTATGTGGCCGAACGTTGAGGCCAGACCTGCCAAGCTATCGGACCACGTGTTCCCCGAATCGGTTTGGAAAGCCTTCGGGGAACACGTGGGCATCTTGAAGGTCATCTTGGCCGTCTTGGAGGCCTCTTGGGCAAGCTTTGGGCGATCTTTGGGGCTTTTTGGGCCGTCTCGGGCCAGCTTCGAGCCAACTTCGGCCATCTTGGTGGGTTCCTGGCACGTCTGAAGCCGTCGGAAGCCGTTTGGGGGGCCTCTATGGGCCGACTTGGGGCCCGCTTGGAATGCTCCAGGGCCGTCTTGGAGGCCATCTTGGGCGTCTGGGAGGCCATCTTGGGCGTGTTGGAGGCCTCTTGGGCCCTCTTGGGGCCCTCTAGGGGCCATCTTGGAGGCCACTTGGGCCATCATGGGGCTCTCTTGGGGGCCTCTTGGGCGATCTTGGGGGCTTCTTGGGCCGTCTCGAGCCGTCGGAGAGCCGAAAAGGCGCAAATGCCAGAATCCTTCAAAAACCAATGAAAAATCAATGATTTTGGCCTCTTCGGACTCTCCTGGAGGACCTCTTGGAGGCCTCTTGGGCCGTCTGGGAGGCCTCTGGGGGGCCTCTTGGGCCGTCTTGGGCCGTCTTGGACTCTCTTGGGCCGTTTTGGAGGCCGTCTTGGACCATCTCGGGCGGACTTGGAGGCCATCTTGGGCCATCTTCGCGATTTTTTGAGGATGTCCCGAGCGAAACGGCCGTTTTTTGGAGGATTTTTTTCCGGATTGAGGTCCTTTCGGCTTCCTCCCGGGACCCCGGCGGGACGTGCCGGAGCCCACTGGGGGAGTTCTTTTGGAAAAAGAACCAAAACCAAAACCTGAAACATCCAGCACGCCGTGCACCCCTGCAAGCAGGGGGCGGCGGATCTAATGGCCTTCGGCCCATCCCGCCACCGTGCCTGAGTTTTGGGTACGATGAGGGCGTTGATTAAGGAATGTGCTCAGGAGGCTGCAGACCCTGGATGATTCCTTATTTGATGAGGGCGGCAGTGGTATCTATGGCCAAGCCTCAATTGGAGATCCACAGGCCTCCAGACCCTGGATTCCTTATCGAAGGGTTCCTTATCCGATGCCCCCACCGTATGAAGCCTATCGGGTGATGGCTGGGATCCCGTGGGAGGCCTTTTGGAGGCAGTTTGGAGTCCTCTTGGGGGCCTCTTGGGGCATCCTTAGCGCCTCTTGGGGCCTCCTTGGGGCCTCTTGGGGCGGAAGGCTCGGATTTTCGGTTCGTGTTTTTGTTTTGGTTCTCTCTCTCTCTCTCTCTCTCTCTCTCTCTCTCTCTTGGGCCCCTTTCGGGGCCGCCTTAGGGCCCTCTTGGGCCGTCGTGCACGCCTCTTGGGCCTTCTTGGGCTTCAGGACTGAGGACTGAGGCTCCAGGGATTAGGCAAAGGACCTGAGGATACGCCCACTCGGTGCCCAGAGGCACTGTGGCGGATACACCACCACAGTGCCTGGCCAGGGCCATGGCCATGAGGTGGTGTACAGGCCCTCCTGGTATCGGCCTGGTCGGGGCCCCCTGGAAACCTCCACTCTTGTTCTCTTAATCCTTCCACATCTCCCACGCATCCCTGTCGGGATAGCGGATTGGGTCAAGAGTGGGATGTTGACCAGGGGGGGATCACGGCTAGCGCCATGCCATCTCTTTGCATGCTATAGACCCCTTGTTAGTCGATTTCTTCTTGTAATTCTCGTTGGTAATATGATCCTTTGTATCTTCGTTATTCTCGTCATTCGTATTATTCGTGCTGTTACGATTATAAGTTTTACCATTCGTACGATGAGTGTTTGGATTATTCGTGTTCGTATGTGTATTGTTGTTGCTATCTGTGTTATGGTTATGATCATGATTATCACCCTTATTTCGGCACCCTCCCTCGCCCCAACTCGTCCGCGCACATGCCTCGGGCCATGATGCGCCCCCCCTTCCTCCCGTCTTGGCACCCCTCCTCGGTGCACCGGACGAGCCCCTCTCCGCCCCACCCCCCCCCGCTCCTGGCCGCGCTCGGCAGGAGCTGGGCGAGGAGGAGGAGTTCCTCGAGGAGGACGGCGAGCTGGAGGAGTCGGCGGTGGGCGAGGAGCCGGAGGAGGCGGCGGACGGCGAGCTGGAGGACGAGGAAGACGCCGTGGCGCAGAACCTGACCTACAACGCGAAGGACGCGGAGGGGGGCCAGAGGCAGCGTTCGGTTGGGGGGGGGGGGGGAGGTGCGCTCCGGGGGCGGCGCGCACCGACCCCCCTAAGCGCCCACTCGTCGCCGCCAGGGGCCCGACCGCCCACCCCGCCCGCGAGCGTTCGGCGCGCGTGCGCGCAGCGAGCGAGCCTGCGCCGGTCTCCGGGGCTTCTCGGGCAGCCCCCTCGAAGCTCACGGCATGGGCGTCCACTGAGGCTCTGCTCGTGGCCAGGCGGGGAGGGGGTGCGCAGAGAGGCTCCGCTGCTCGCGCGATCGTCGTGGGCAGCCCCGCGGGCCGCCCCCGTTTCCGTGTCCTGCTCCGCCCCTGTCCTGTGTGCGTGTTCGGCTCCAGGGCGCACCGTGGGCGGAGGAAGCGAGCGACCCTGGCCGCTGTGCCAAAGCGCCGCATCGGGTCGTGCATCGGGCCGTTCAGTTCTCGCCTCCCGCGCGAGAGCGCCCCGAAGCACATGGCAGCACGCCTGCAAGACGTGCCGCTCGGGCCCTGGGGAGCCCTCCGCTCGTTGGGAATCGACCTCCCTGCTCCTCGTCCTCGATCCTCGTCCTGCTCCTTCTCCTCCTCCTCCTCCTCCTCCTCCTCGTCCTCCTCGTTCTCCTCCTTCTCTCCCTTCTCTTCATCATCATCCTCATCCTCCTCGTTTTCCTTTTCCTCCTCCTCCTCCTCATCATCCTCATCCTCATCATCATCATCATCATCATCATCATCATCATCATCATCATCATCATCATCATCATCATCATCCTTCGCCTCCTCCCCTTCCTCCTCCCCCTCCTCCCCCTCCCCTCCTCCCTCCTCCTCCTCCTCCTCCTCCTCCTCCCCTCCTCCTCCTCCTCCTCCTCTTCCCTCCTCCTCCTCCTCCTCCTCCTCCTCCTCCTCCTCCTCCTCCTCCTCCTCCTCCTCCTCCTCCTCCTGTTCCTTATGCATAACCTCTCCCTGTCGTACCCTGCGGCCAGTTTTAGGGCGGGCCGGGCGTTTCGCATTTCTTCGCCGTCTGTGACCTTGAAGCGCACACAATGGCAACAGTTTCACGGATGGAGGGCGGGTGGTTCTCAAGATGCGACTCTCGTTTCAGCGCCGCGCACATCCTCCTTTCAAGCATGCAGGCGTTTCACGGGTTGAGGCCAACCCGTTTTCATCATATGGCTCCCGCTTTGGCGCCGCGCACGTTCGTCTTTAGAATTCGCAAACTTCACGGATTGAGGGCGACCCGTTTTCAAAATGTGGCCCTCGTTGTAGCGCCGCGCACATTCTTTTCTTGTAATTTGCAAGAGTTTCACGGGTTCAGGGCGACCCGTTTTCAAAATGTGGTTCTCGCCCTAGCGCCGCGCACATTTTTTTTTCATTACAAGAGTTTCGCGGATTGAGAGTGGTTTATGTTCAAATCGTGGTTCTCTCCTTAGTGCCGCGCACTTTCATGTCTTAGAATGTGCCATCAGTTTCACGGATTCCCATGATCAGCGCACCAGAAATGGTGTGTTGGAAGGACTCAGAACTATCAAGGCGCAGCGGTGTTGAAGTCCCAGGAAAAGCGTTCTGGCACGATTCAGGATCGTCAAGACGCAACAGTCAGGTTGATCCGTGGCGCTGGAAACCTGAGAACAATGTTTTGGCATGCTCCAGGGTCTTCAAACAGTTGTCTTCCAACGAGGCAGTTCCCTCAGTATGAACCCTTGTAGGGGCCTATGAAGAGGGCACTTGACAGGAGGGTTCATTCCACCATCTTTGATGACTCTTGGGTTTACACTGGTCCTCATCATCCTCCTTCTCTTCGTCGTCCTCCTCCCCCTCCTCCTCCTCCTCCTCCTCCTCCCCCTCCTCCCCCTCCTCCTCCTCCTCCTCCTCCTCCTCCTCCTCCTCCTCCTCCTCCTCCTCATCATCATCATCATCATCATCATCACCATCATCCCCCTCCTCCGTCTGATTTCAATACGTCCCCTGGCCCCCCGTGGGCTGCGCAATTTACTTTCCTCGCGGCGCGGCGCAGAAGCAATCCGCGCGCGCACGCTCTAGCAGCCCAGACTAAGCGCACGAATTCCCCAGCAGCACGAGAGGGGGGAGGGACAGGGGCCGGGGACCCCCAAACGGGGTGGTGACCGCACCGTGCGGCGAGTTGGTGGGGCTGCGGGGTCGCCGCGCGGTTCTGGGACCACGATCGCTCTTCGAGGATCTCTCGGGCGGCGGGGACCGCCGAGGTCCCAAACCCAGACATGCGACGTCCTGATTTGTTCAGGACGGCGTCCCCAGAAGTCCCGACCCTTTCCCCGGGACCGGTTTCTCGTCCTGAGTCGTTCGTTGACGGCCCCGAGGCCCTGCGAGGGCCCCCTGGGGCCGAAGATCGGCAAACAAACTTCCCGTCCTGATTTTTGTTACGACGCGATCATGTCTGGGAAGCGCCAGCTCCCCCACAGCCTCGCGGCTGCTTTGTGAGTGGGCCGGCCGGCTTGCGGCGCGCCTTGTGGCTAATTAGCCTCGTTCGCGCCCCGAACTTTGCTTTCGCCGCCTGCCTCTTCGCTGGCGGCCGCGACCGAAAAAGATGCCTGGGAAGCCGTGTGGTGACGGGCCCTGCGGTGAGGTCCTCGTGGATCTCGAGGCCACCGCCCGGTCTGCCAGCCCACGGCGTCGGGACCCCCCCCCCAGGGAGAGGGCGGCCGCCGAGGGCGGGCCAAGAAGGGGGGGGGGAAAAAGGGGGGGGGGCGCAGGAGGGCGAAAAACACACAGGCAAATTCATTGTGGATCCTCCAATATATATATATATATAATATATATATATGTATATATAATATATATATATATATTTATAGGAAACTATGGGAAGGGGGGGGGGAGACAGAGACCCAGAAAAAACGTGGGGAGGGATGGGGAAGCTTGCTAGGTGTGTCTCTTGCTTTGTGTGCCCCAGGGCCCCTTCCTTTGCGCACCCCCCTCTGGGACGCCCCCCTCCTGGACGCCCCCGGGGAGGGCATCGGTATCGGCATGGCTCTTCTCGCCGCTCTGGAAGGACGTCAACGACCAGGTCTTCGAGGAGCTCCACCTGGGCGCGCTTGGGCTCGAGGCTCAGGGCTGCCCAAATGGCATCCGAGCAGGAGGGGTCCGAGGATCGCGCCGCGTCGCCGATGCGCCTGCGATGCGGCTCCCCGCTTTCCCCAGTCGGGGAGACGTATGACTCGAGTTCACTGGAACTCGGGTTTGCCGACTCGTTTTGACGAGCCCGTCCTGGATTTCAAGACGGCCCAGTTTGGCCCAGTCCTCGTCGGGTGCCTGCAGCGGGAGCTCGCGTCCAATTTCGGATTGGGTCTCACCGTTTGCCTGACGGCCCCGTCAGGCCATCTCGAGGCCCCCGAGCCCGGCCTTACGTCTCCCCGACCTATCCTGACGTCGTTGATGTGTCGCCCGCCGATGCACTGGTGATGCGGTTTGGCTCAGAGCCCGCGTTTCCCCACCCCGACGCCACGGATGCGTCGCCGATGCGGCGCCGTCCTCCGTCCCCACCGAGTTATGGACCTCCAGCTCTGGGGCTCGGGCCCCGAAGGGGTGCGCCGTGCCCGCGCCGGTGTTCACGCCGTCGACCCCCCCAGAGGTCTGGACCCATTCCCCAGGACAGGGTGTTGCTCCCAGCCTGGACGTTTTTGTTGACGGTCCCGAGGCCTGGGGAGGGCCTCCAAGAGGCCGAACATATCGACTGGACGTAAGAGTGACCTTTCGCCGGAGTGACCTTTGGTGTGGGCACAGATGGGTCCCCAGATGGCTGAAAGCGGGGCAGGAGCAGCGGCTTCCGCGCCCAGGTTTGGTCCCCACGCGGTTCCCCAAAAAGCCGCGCACCAGAGGCCACTCTTGCCCAGGGTCCCTCTCTTGCGCGTAGCCGAACATGGCAAGAAGCCTGCCGTCACGAGCTTGGCGTGCCTCGATAAAGGGGGCTCCGGGCAGCGCGCGCGGACCCGCGGCGGGTCCCGCTTCCGCGCGGCAGCGGGGCCCTCCGCCGCCACAGCGGGCGGCACTGGCCTCGTGCCTCGAGGGGGGGGGCCCGCTTCCCGGGTGCGCGGAGGCCCGGCGGGCTGGGGGCGCGGAGGTGTCCGCCCGCCTCTGCTCGCCCCTGCGCCGGGCCCCCGGGTTCAGCCCAGCGTCCACGCCTCGAAGACGAGCAACACTGCGTGGACAGAAACTTCTGGCGCTCCGCGCGGACTTCTTGGATCCGCGCTGGGGACCCCCCGCCGCCCCTGGTGCGCTCCGCGCGCCAGGCAGGGGGGTCCAGCGCAGATCCAAGGAATCCGCGCGGAGCGCCAAAAGTTGATGTCAATGCCTTCTTTTTGCTCTTCTAACACCAGCGCCGTCCTCACAGGAGTCTGGAGCCCCACGCGAGATTTGAGCCGAATCATCATTGCGGGCAGTGCGCGTCAGGGAGTATGTACCTTTTCGGGCCTCTGCTTGCATTGAATTTGCCACTGATGCGAGTAGCGCCAAGGCATTGGCTGTTGTTGGGCGGGCCAACCGCACGACCTCCATCGTGACGATGCTGGGCAGCAGCGTCGGAAAGGGGAGGTAGAACGGCGGTGGCTCCCCTGGGATCCGACGGTGCGAGACGTTGAAACACAACAAAAGTCACGACCAGAGCCCCGGACCCCATCTTTCTGCTGCATCCTGCGGCCCGTATCGATTCGTGGGGGTCCATGGACCCGGAACGGGGCCAGAGCGCTCGGCTCGAGAACACGAAAACGGACGCCAGGATTTTCAGGGAAGCCAGAGCGAGACGCCAGCGAGCAGTGAGAGTGGCGGCCCTGGTCGCCAGAACGAAAGCCAGAGACGAGGCAAGGGCCTCAGGGGGCGATTTCGCTCGGGCCTACCCCGACCCCCCCCTCCGCGCCTCTGGTGCTGCCGCCCCCCGACCGTCTGAGGCGCTGTCCATCCCGCTGCCTCGGGTCGACGACGCTAGCATTATGTTGTTCCCGTCCTACTTAGGGACCGCATCCCAGAAATAATTTCGAGCAACTGGAAAGGTGTCAAAAGAGTGTCGAAACAGTGTCGAAGCAGTGTCGGGCGAGCGTCTCTCAGGGCCCGACACCTGAAAACCTTTGAGTTTCGGTACTTTTTGGGGGCGCTCGAAATTCTTCCTGGTGGTCAAGGCTAAAGCAGGTTGGAGCATCGTACCCTAGCGCCCCCGGTGCTGCCACCTCCCGAGACCGTCTCGGGCGCTGTCCGCCCCGCTGCCTCGGCGCGGCGCCCGGGCCGAGGCAGCGGATGGCGTCATCATTTCCAGCGCCATACCACGGCGTGGTTTTCGGTCCTGCCAAGTAGGCCCGAAAATCTACAACATGCCCCCCCCCTCCCCCGAAAAAACCATCGGAAGTGATTACACATTCGGCGTCGATTCGTTTGCTATTCGGGCTGCAGAAGCCCCCCCACATTTGGGCGTCGCCACGCCATGCTATGTCAGGCTACGCGTCCTCATGTCCGCGCTTCCGCGCTTGGTTGTTTGTTCAAAATGCTGCTCTCGCTGAAGCGCTGGCCTCATTTTCGGGCTACCGGTCGTTCCGAATCGTGCTCCCGCTGCAGCGCTGGCCTCATTTCCGCGCTTCCGCTCGTTCCGAATCGTGCTCCCGCTTCAGCGCTGTCGTCACCATTTCCAGTGCCATGTTACGGCGTGGTGTTCGGTCCTTGCAAGTAGGCTCCAAAATGTAGAAAATGCCCCCCCCCCGAAAAAATAATCGGAAGTGATTACACATTCGGTGTCGATTTGTTTACTTTGTTGGCTGCAGAAGCCGCCCCCCCGTTCCCGCTCGTTCCGAATCGTGCTCCCGCTTCAGCGATGGCGTCATCATTTCCAGCGCCATGCCACGGCGTGGTTTTCGGTCCTTCCAAGTCGGCCCCAAAATCTAGAACATGCCCCCCCGGAAAAAAACCGGAAGTGATTACACATTCGACGTCGATTCGTTTACTATTCGGGTTTCAGAAGCCCCCTATTGGGGGGGGGCGCCGCCACGCCATGCTATGTCAGGCTACGCGTCCTCATGTCTGCGCTTCCGCGCTTGGTTGTTTGTTCAAAATGCTGCTCTCGCTGAAGCGCTGGCCTCATTTTCGGGCTACCGGTCGTTCCGAATCGTGCTCCCGCTGCAGCGCTGGCCTCATTTCCGCGCTTCCGCTCGTTCCGAATCGTGCTCCCGCTTCAGCGCTGTCGTCACCATTTCCAGTGCCATGCCACGGCATGGCATTCGGTCCTTCCAAATAGGCCTCAACATTTAGAACATGGTTCCCCGAAAAAACCTCGGAAGTGATTACACATTCGGTGTCGATTCGTTTACTTTGTGGGCCGCGGAAGCCCCCTATTTTGGGGCGTCGCCACACCATGCTATGTCATGCCACGCGTGGATATTCAACACCATGCTATGCCATGTGACGCTATGCCATGCTACGACATCCTGTTGTGTGAATAGAGGAGATCTACGGCCTCCCTCCCGCCCGCCCGCCCGCCCTCCTCCTCTTCTTCCTCCTCCTACTCCTCCTCCTCTTCATCCTCCTCCTCCTCCTCCTCTTCCTCCTCCTCCTCCTCCTCCTCCTCTGGGGCCCCGAGGTGCAGCAGACGTGGAACGACTTCCTCAAGGGCGCCGAGTCGCGCGAGGCAGCGGGCGAGGCCATCTACGCGGCGGTCTTCGACGCGGCGCCGAGCCTCCAGAACCTTTTCAAGACCCCAAGGCCAGGGGCGAGTGGGAACAAGCTCGGGGTTCCACCCCTGAGGTTTTGGAGTAGACCCAACGCCGCCAGGCATCTGGACCCAGGCCCTCTTTCCTTGCAAAACAGGACGAAAAAAAAATCAAGACGACTTGCTGTTTGTAGTTTTTAGCGCATGGGGGCCCTCGCTGGGCCCTGTGACCGTCAAGTAACGATCGTGGGCGAACAAAAACGATCCAAGGGAAGTGGTCCAGAGCTTCGGGGACCCCGCATTGAAACAAACATGCACTTGCAACGCATCCTCATAGCAGGAAGGGTAAAGAGACGGGTCGAGGAACACGAGTCCCGAGTCCTAAAGATTTTCAGGAAAGATGCAGCTGGGACATGAATGAGAGCACGGCCATGTGCATTGCAATGTGATTTTGAGCGTACGTGTTTACAAGATATTGCGGCCGTCCGGACCAAGCATAGAGCCAGCATCGAGGCGAGAGCACGATGCTTGAACACATTGTGAGGAAGCCTCTGGTGAGACGGCGGCCGGACCGGGCGGTCTAGGGTTCCCTTTCCTCGCTTGTGAAAGTTTTGCGCGGTTTTTCCATAGTAGCGTTTCGCTCGAGGGTTTTATTCGTGTTCAGAGTTTCTCGTTCACCAGAGTTTCCACAGGGGGGGGCCCAGGGAGGGCATCTCCCAGGCCCAGCGGCGGTTTGGCAGAGCGGCCCGGCAGCGCTCATTATGGCGTTCTGGTTCGACTTGGTCCAGACATCCGACTCACCATGGTGTTTAGCAGGGTTCCAGCCCTCGCAGAACCAGACATGGGATTCACGAGCGCTTTCTGGCTCAAGGCTCAATTTGGCTTAGAAGTGCTACTCAGTACAGTGTGTGTTGGTTGGATTTCAGTTGCAGGTTGTTTTTGTTGTTCTACCTGGTGCTCTAACCCCATGTGTGTCACGCATGTTCCTATAGATTGTCCTTTTTGATGTTGTTCCGATATGTTGTATTTATGGATGGAGTGTTGGCCAGATTTTAGCTGACATGCCTCGTCCGTGGGGATCGAGTCCGACGTGTTGTACATATATTCCTATCGATTGTTTGTTGTGTTTGTTGCCAGGGGCTCGAAACCGATATGTTCGAATATGTTTACATGGATTGCCCTTTTTCCTGTTTGGTTTCGAATCCGATGTGCTTGCGACTTTATTATGCTGTGTTTTACGCATGTTCCTATCGATTACCCCTTTCCTGGGGTTCGAATCCGATGTGCTGAATGTATGTTTCTATAGATTGCCACCTTCCTGTGGCTCGAATATAATGTGTGTGTCGCGCATGTTCCTACATATTGCCCGTTTCCTGTGGTTTTGTTGTTTCAGCCAGTGGGTTGTTCGTTTTCGCATTGCTGAACTCTTCATCCACGGGCAATGACCTTACAGGCGTGTCTCCTGGCGGCATTGCTCAGATTGCCGACGAAAAAACAGATCATCCGCTACAGATGTTTCCCGGTCGCGCCTCGCAGGGTCTGGCCGCGACCGAAATAGAGATAATGATGGTCCAAAACCAGCATCAACCGCAATGCATGCACGGTCGAAATTGCGTTTGAAATCCGGTAGCGCGCTACCAAAAGTGGTTTCGGCGCTACCAAATTTGAGCGCATCGTTGCTGCCGAGTTTCGTTTCGACGCTACCGAATGCAGCGAGCATCGTTGCCGAATTTCGCTGTCGCCGATGCTGGATGTCGACGGGTGCGGATGTCGGCGGCGGTGGTGATTGCGCAGATTCTCGCATTACCGATCTTCGCGGCTCCGAAATGCAATTTCCCGCTACCAAGTTTCCTTTTCCCGCTACCGATTTTCGCGTCGGATTCGCGAACGAATTTCGTTTCCCCGCTGCCGAACTTCATTTTCCAAAATGCACATGCGTTCGCAATTGTCCGACGCGGCTGAAAAACCCGGCATCCGGGCCCAATCGAAAATCGACGAGCGCCCAGATCGCTACCCAAAATTTGCAGCATCAGATGATACGAGAAATCCTTGGCTGGGATGCGGCGGAGGCCCAGAACATGGGGTTCCCACCGCATCCGCCCACAAGTGGGAGTCCGCGCTTTCGGGCGCCCGAGGACGGAGAGGAGGTCTGCGGGCTGGCGGGGGGCAGACCGCGGCGATGCCCTTCGGCTCGCTGCAAGGGCCACGCCGCCGCCTCCCCATGGGCCGCGGGCGCAGGCGGCCAGCCTCGGCCAGCGGGGGCAGCGGCCGCGCCGGCGATGGTCGACGGCCAATGCGCTCGGCTTCCACGGCGATCGAGCGAACCAGTCCCGATCCCGAGCGGGGAGAGCCACCCGCGGAAGCCGCGGCGCTGCTCAGCCTGCGCACCGGCCAATCCACGCGCGCCACGCAGCCGCTCAGTCTGGGCCCCCACGGCGGCGCCGTTCAGCCTGCCGCTCGAAGAGTCGAGTTCGTCGACGCAGCCTCCGTCGCGAGGCGGGATGTCGCCCGACTCGTCGAAGGTGCTAGCGCGCCCACGCAGCCGGCGAGCGGCCGCAAGAAGCTCCGGCGCTTCGAGTCGGAGGTCCCGCGACAGGAGGGCGGCCATTCAGGAAGAGCCGCTGCCGCGGCCACCCACGCGACGAGAGCGATCGAACAGCAGCGGGCGCGATTTCTCACGGGCGGCGCAGGCATCTCCTCCACCGACGAACCATGCGCATTCACTGATGAGAGAAAGCAGATACCCCGACAGATGATAAACATTTCGAACAAGATGCCGGGTCAGACCGCGACGCGGCGTTCGGCGAGGAAGAGGCGCAGAGGCCGCAGAACAGTCGCGCGGGGAAGACGCCCCTCCGCCAGCGCGGGCGAGGCCGCGCCCCACTGCGTATCCGCGGGTCTCCTGGAGGACGCACGATGCACTTGCAATATTTTTTCCAGCGTCGCCAGCGGGGGATTCGCCGGCGCCCCCGCGCAGCTCGCCAAACACCGCGGCGCTCTTCAGCATGCCAGGATCTCGGCGACCAGCAGGCGCGCCGAGAAGCGCGCCAGGGCCCGCGTTTGCCGAGCGCGCCGCTCGGATAACGCGACATCGCCATGACGCCCCAGACAGAACACTCTGCAAGAGTCCGACGTCAATCGTCTCAGCAGGCTCCGAGACGGATCGCTTCCACGCGGGATGAACGCGGCTGCCCGCGCGGGCGGCCGCGGCAGAACCCGCTACGCCGACGGCGCCATCTGCGAGGAAAGTCGCGACAACGCGGGCCACGCGCTGCGAGAGGTCGCAGGCCCATTCTTCTGCGGCGCGCGACTGGCGCCGCGGAGTTTCTCGGCAAGTGCTGGGCGTCTGATCCGAGGCTCGCGGCGCTGCTCAGCCAGTCGCGACTGGCGACTCCTTTGCGCATCTCAGTCTGCGAGCGGCATCATCTGACTCCCACGGCGCTGCTCTGCTCGACGCGAATGTCAATTGCTGCTCTCCCCCCCCACCTCTCCCCCTTCCCCCCTTTCGGCGGCGGCGATCGAATCGGCCGCGGCAGCGCCGACGGCCGCGGCATCAGCGGCTGCGTCGGCAGGAAGAGCAGCCGCGGCCGATCGCAGCCGCGATTGCTCGAGCTCGCGAGCCTGCCGGTCGCGCGCGCCGGCGCCGCGGGCGGGCCGTCGCTTCGGGGATCGTTTCTCGGCCCGCGGGAAACGTCATCTGGATCCACGGTGCTGCTGAGCTCGGCGCTTATATAGTTTGCCACCCCCCACCCCTCCTCCCCCGCCTCCTCTTCTCCGCCCCGTCCCCCGATCGAGTCCATTCCCCATTCTTCTTCGGCCGCGGCGGCGGGGGCGGCGGCGGCGACTGGGTCGGCAGCGGCAGCGGCGGCATCAAAGGCCGCGGCGTCAGCGGCAGCAGCGCCAGCGGCTGGTCGCAGCCACGAGCGCTCAAGCTCGCGAGCCCGCCGGCCCCGCGAACCAGCGCCGCGGGCGGGCCGCCGCCGCGGGCGGCGCCCCTCAGCCCGCGGGGGGCACCATCTGGACCCACGGCGCCGCTGAGCCAGGCGCGCGCGCCATTTGCCGCCGCCGCCCTTCTCGGCTCGACCCCGACATTGAGCTCGGCGCGCTTGTCTCTTTCAATATTGAACTCGCCGAGAAGCGGCGCCCGGGGGGGCGAGGCGCCGGAGCAGCGCCGCCGCGCGCGCCTTGCGCCAGCGCGACAATTGCGACGCGGACCTCGTTCGCCCGCCCCACTTCGGCGACCGTCGCGAGGGCGCGGGCGGCCGGGAATTCGAAGGGCTCGCGCGCCCGACCCCCCCGCCCCGCCGCGCGCTCGCACGCGGGGCGCGCGGCTGCCTGCGGAGCGCGCGCCGCCCCGCCTTACGCGCGCAAAGATCCGGCGCCGCCGAAAGCTCCACGGCGGCGGCGCCCGGCCCGCCCTCGCCGGGCTGGTCGTCGGCAGCATCCGCTGTCGCAGCAGCCGCGCCCGCCGCCGTGAATGGGCTCGAGCGGCGCGCGCCGACCCCCCGCGGCCCGCGCGCAATCGCGGCGCTTTTCAACATGCGATGCCGCTGCCCCATCGCATTCTCTGCGAGTTCCACGCGGCGCCGAGCCGGGCGACGCCCCGCTCCTGGCTGTCGCTGCGGCGCCCCTCGGCCTGCTGCCGATGTCCAAACTCGGTTAGAAAATGATGCCCCCCCCCGCCCGGACCCCGACTGCCACTAATTCGCCGCCGAAGAATTGTTTAGATTGTCTACCTTGGGAAAAATGCGCATCGGCATCCGCGCATGAACTGCGCGCGTGCAGGTGCGCAGGCTACTTCGGACGACGAGTAGGTAGTTTTCGTCTTGCTGGGGCACTGCGCGCACGCGCGCCACGATTGCGCGCGCGCGGCGGCGTCCAGTTTTCGCGCGCGGCGCGAGGCTCACTGGCCTTGCGCAACCCCCCAGAATCCCGATGTTACAAGTGTTTTTTCGCGCGCGCCCGCGGGGATGACGCGCGTCACCGGCTGCTTTTGCTAGGCTGAATGGCCGCATTGCCGGCCCCCAGAATCCCGAACTTACAGGTGGTTATT